AAAAGTGTGTTCCTAAGCATGGATATATAAAGTTACATATGTACACTAGCCCATAATAGTATAGATCGGTAGATAGAAGCATACATATAAGCGGGCCGTGGTTCCTAAGGTACCAGAGTTGTTCTCCGACAATTCACTAACAACATTATTTTGCAAGGAAGCGGATCGGACAAGCTTGGATGTAGAATAGTTGTGGTTGGCCTTCTAGTCCTCACCAAACTGTTAAGTTAAATGATTATGGCAATTTTAAATTGACTTTTATAAAACTTTCACCATTACTAACCGATAAACCCCCCAGCTGCAAAGGATCGGTCACCACGTTCCAAGCAGTGATGCGTCCTCGGACTCGGATATTCAATTTATAATTACATCATTTCTGAAGGTCAGAAATTAGCATCGTCCCCCATGCATTCAAGCACTTAAATTTCACCTAATGCTTTAGAATGCATGACATGCTTTAAGTTAACTTTAGAAAGAAATTGATACCTCGCGCGCCACAAACGCTAATTTCATTAATTCTAATATTTTTGTAACCTGAATATGGTGTAAACTTTTGATATCTCATATTGATCTAGCAGTATTTTTAGTTATAGTGAAGTGAAGTTTAAAACAAAAAATAAATTCCTGCAGGGCTAAATCTATACTTATATTAGCATTGTAATATTGTCATATTGTAATAAAACTAAATTAAGGCTGCTTGAAATATGACGTTAATCTCATAAAGCCCAGATAAAATCTAAAAATGATTAACACAAGCACAGGAAAAAGTAAGCTGACTGTTAATTATCAGATATTTTTTTTAATGTTACTTGTCAACGCTTATAAATTAAATTTTCAGTTATCGTATCCCTGCCCCCCCCCCTCTCCCTATCTCTCTATGTCCGTCCACTCAAATTCCTTTATTCCCATTCCTTCGCCCTTAAATACTTATGAATGCAGTGACTCCGTTAGTAACAGAGTCATAGGATTAGAAGTTATACGTCATCAGGCTTCCTTCCTTCCCTTCCTTCCCTTCCTTCCCTTCCTTCCCTTCCTTCCCTTCCTTCCCTTCAATTTTTATCAATGTTTAAAAGAAAAGACTTCAATATATATCTGGTATCTATCACTATGAGAAAAATGTTAAAATGAATGAAATCAATGCCTTTCAGTTTCTTGCTAATATTGTGAGCATAGTATTCTAGATCAAAGTCAGGCCAGACTCTTATATTTAATTGTTTAGTGAATATTTTTTTTTACAAATCTGATTTCTTCAGAAAACAGATAAATCCATAATGTATATAGGTCTGGGCATGTTTGGACTTTTCTTAAAATCCTTCGTTAACAACAGGTTAGCGGTCAGCCTTAACAGTTTTCCATTTGCTATTAACTAAAAACTGAACAATTTCAGTTTAGTTTAGAATTATTTTCGTTCGTCCCGCATCCTTCTATTAACTTTTAACAAATTACAGTTCGTAAGCGGAACGTTGCCCAGTTTTATTATAGGTTCCTGTTTCTATGGAAAGCTAATCTACTAGCGCTGTGGTTATGACATTTTAAACTATATTCCAGAAGGAACTTTCTGGAAAATTCGGTATTTGTAAAATTCGTTTTTGGGAAAGTTGCTTCGCGTTTGAAAAAAAAATGAAAAAGGTTAATATTTTTGAAGTTTTCTTATCTAAAGATTAGTAAACCTAATGAACAAACAAATTTTTAGTTAAACCAAAATTTAAAATGCTATTGTGTACGTTTAAAGGTCTAGTATTTTCTGGAAATAATCTGCCTTGAGTAATGAGATTAGTAAACTTTGTTTTTCTGGGAATATAAAGATAAGAGGTATTAGGTATCTAATCATCAGTGTTACCTGTCAACACTCTTACTTACTTTTTTCTTAAAAAATTTAACTTTAAACTAAGCAAAGAATGCGCAAAATAAATCAAAGAATATAAAATATTACTTTTACCACTCTTGTCACTTGCGCGGATTTTTAGTGATTTTTTTGAAAAATAAGATTTTCGTAATTTATCGAACAAAATATCATTTATAAGTAAAAACATTTTATCTAATATTTTTATATTAATTATGTTAAGTATTGTATCAACCTTAAACTGTAATGTATGAATTAACATTTATTATAATGCCATATTACTGAAAATATTGTTATGTTATGAAAAGAACCACTCAAAGGCAGGGGCGTACGAGGGCATTTTGTTTATGGGGGGCACAATTTGCTACATTTTGGATGTTACTAACCTTATAGAGTTTAAAAATTATTCCTTTGCTTGAAAAACTAACTTTTTAACTTTATAAATTTATCACTTAACTCCATCACAGCTAACTAAATCAATAATCACAGCATCATTAAAAATTATATTTTCACTAATAAACGAAATTTCTTCTGAAATTTTTAGATAGAATTTACTCAATCTACATATTCACCAACTCTTTTAAGCTACAATTTTCTGGGACTTGCTTGCAAAAACATTTCAATGATTTTCTCAGTAGAGAGCTCAGACAGCCTTTTAGGATGTAAAGCTATAAGTGCAAGATTGTTAAGTCTGCTCTCCGTCATAGTACATCTTGTGTAATGAAGTATTCTCTTACTATATGAATAAAAAATGTAATATTTAAAGGTACTTTGATTTTAGAAAGTTCCTGTGCATGGTAGTGTCAAATATTTTAAATGAATTTATAGTTTTCATCAAGTTCATCTATCTATCTCATATTGAAGTTAGATCATTAGTCTCAAAATCCTATCTTACACTCTTCCTAAATTTACACACTTCCTCTTAAACATTCCAATCTTACACACTTCCTAGCTTACATTCTTCCTATCTTACACATTTCCTATCTTACACATTTCCTATCTTACACACTTCCTATCTTACACACTTCATATCTTACGCACTTCCTATCTTACACATTTCCTATCTTACACACTTCCTATCTTACACTCTTCCTATCTTACGAATTTCCTATCTTACGCATTTCCTATCTTACACACTTCCTATCTTACACACTGCCTATCGTACACACTTACTATCTTACACACTACCTATCATACACACTTCCTATCTTACACTCTTCCTATCTTACAAATTTCCTATCTTACGCATTTCCTATCCTACACATTTCCTATCTTACACACTGCCTATCGTACACACTTACTATCTTACACACTACCTATCATACACACTTCCTATCTTATACACTTCCTATCTTACACATTTCCTATCTTACACACTTCCTATCTTACACACTTACTATCTTACACATTTCCTGTCTTACACACTACCTATCTTACACGCTTCCTCTCAATTTATCAAATGGTTTACTTTCCCTCCTGCATCCTTTACCTCCATGCCCCGCCTTCCAAAAACGGAGTAAAAAGATTGCTGTTTGATATATTTTCTTGTTTATTTTAGAAGTATGAACAGACGTAGGACCGAAGGTGTGCTGGAAAGAGCTGAAGGGAAAAGTTTGATAAAAAGGGAAAAGAAACTGATAAATGTCAAAGCTTATCTCTGCAGAATGTTCACATGTTCTTGGGGGGAGGGGGGATACAATTTTTTATTACTCTAATACTTATACCTCCCCTCCTCATCCCATTTTACAGTTCACCTAAAGAACAGCTTTTTACTACCCTTCATGAATTTTTGGGTGACATTTTCCCTGAGTAAATCATAATTCTATCTCATGGGGATTTGGGAGAAGGGAAATGTGATAAACCTCTCATAATATTCTGCAGATCGTGTGCAAATATATATAAAGGGATTGTTAGCAATTTTTCAAATTGAGAGAACCTCCTCATAACTATAATAGAATGCACGTTTTTTTCAAACTATAATAGAATGCACGGTTTTTTTTTCAAAATTAAAGTCAAGATTTTTAAGCAAAAATAAATTAGGTACTTAAAGGAGTAAAGGCTGAAGATAACTCAATTTTGCGCAAAATCGGCGCTACGACATCTGCTCTATTTCCATTTGCTCTATGGTCATTTGCTCTATGGCCATTTGCTCTATCAAGTCATTTGCTCTATACGTCATTTGCTCTATACGTCATTTGCTCTATATTCAATCAGCTCTATGACTAAACACGTCATTTGCTCTATAACATAAAAATACACTATAAAATAGCTTTTATTGGAATTCCTGAGCGTAACTTGACTATGAAATGCGGGAATTTTTTTTGGAAAATTCGCAAATTGCAGTTTTCATCAGTTCTTCAAAGTCCATCATGCCTGGAACAAATGTACTCCAACAAATGCATCTCTATGGTGCATTTTTGATGGTTTTCTAAGAGAAGAAGGTCTGGTGCATCAAAAAGTTCATGACGCTAGGGTAAATGTTGTGGATCCTCTTGCTCCTGGTTCTGCTAGGAAACAATACCCAAAGAACAAGGAAATGTTAATATTTAACTTGGTCTCACAATAGGCACAAATACCAGACAAACAAAACTATCTCCAGGAAGTTGGCGGAATAATGAAACTGTAGGAAGAATTGTAAAATGTAAAATTATAAAAATATTGTTTTAATATGATTAGATATTTATATAAATATGTTTATAGAGCAAATGACGTGTTATGTCATAGATCAATTGACGTATAGAGCAGATGAAATATAGAGCAAACGTCGTGATCTATGAGCTATAGAGCAAATGCTTAATAAAGCAAATGGCCATAGAGCAAATGACCATAGAGCAAATGGAAATAGAGCAGATGTCGTAGCGCCGATTTTGCGCAAAATTGAGTTATCTTCAGCCTTTACTCCTTTAAATACCTAATTTATTTTTGCTTAAAAATCTTGACTTTAATTTTGAAAAAACCGTGAATTCTATTATAGTTTGAAAAAAACGTGCATTCTATTATAGTTTGAAAAAAACGTGCATTCTATCATAATGATGACTTATAGATTTTATTTTGTTATTGCTTGTTACACGGCAAAGAGTATCTTTTGTCAATTGTTCATGACAATTTTATATATTTTTAGATTATTTTGACTATCCCTTTAAACTATGTTTCTGACCTTCTTCAGTGTGCTCGACGCTAAAAATATCTTTCCAGTTCCAGCTGGAGGAAACTGTACAACTTCTACACAAAACAGAAATTTTTTGCCAATTTTATTATTATTTAGATTAATTTTTGGGAAACTATTAAAAAAATATTATTTTTTAAAACTTCAATGTAAGTTTCTCTACGGCGAAACTTATGCAACTGAATTAAGAAAACTTTAACAAATAATTTTTAAAGAGTTTTAAGTCAGTATTAAAGTCTCATCTTTTGCGGTTGATCCTGTACTTCAAATCCATGTTAAAGTTTATGTTTATTAAATGCAAAAAGTTGCAATATCTATAGACAGTCGATAAACTTATGACGTGAAATAGGTCTGATGAGCGCGCACCGAACATTTATTGTGTTTTATGTTCATTGGACAATTTAAAATCAATAATTTTGTGAAATACGTTTTGCTCAAAAAAAAATTTAAAAAATACTAAAATACACGGTTACCCATAGAGGATTAGATTTTAATTTCTAATATTTACGATTTCTTGAAACTGTAAACTTGTTTTTTTATTTGTCAAATCGTTAAATAAGTAATTAGATTACTATATCTAGGGCAGAATACATAGGTTAACCTTGAGATAGTCTCGTTTAATGAGTTTTCAGTCGGTGGGTAACCCTGATGTTTACCCGGTTTCAGGCCGGAAATGTGTTTTAAGTTTCTGACTTTGGGTTCCAGCAGAGGACTTTCAATGTCAATCAAATTAAAATGAAAAGTTAATTTTTTACTCAGCAAAATAGTTAATTTGCAAATATGCAATGGAAAACTAGCGAATTAAATATTATAGATATTTCTGTTCCTGTATACTGTCGGAGCTGGTTCTAGTTTTTTGCTTGAGGTTTCTTCTTGATAATTTTTAGCGGATGCCACAGACTCAAATTTAGGACAAGAGCTTTCTTCTGATTTCTTAGAGTTAAAGAGTTCTTCCTGGTTACCAAGCAAAGTGTTCTCTGATTTCCAGGGTTTAAAGAATTCTTCTAGTTTCCCGGACTTAAAGAGTTCTTTTTGATTCTCGGGCTGGAAGATGACTTCTTGCTTTCCGGGCTTGAAGAGTTCTTCTTGTTTCCTGGGATTTACAAGATCTTCTTGTTTCCCGGACTTTAAGAGGTCTTCTTTTTTTCTGAGCTTAAAGGGTTCTTCTTGTTTGCTGGGCTTAAAAAGTTCTTCTTGTCTGCTGGACTTAAAGAGTTCTTCTTGTTTGCTGGGCTTAAAGAGCTCTATTTCCTTTCCGAGCTGAAAGATTTTTTCTTGTTTCCCAGAATTAAAGAGATGTTCTTTTTTATTGGTCTGAAAGAGTTTGTCTTGGTTTTCCTTTTGATATCCAGGTCTTTGATGTAATGTTGTATCAGGATATCCTTCTCCGTGGTGTAATGTTGTATCTGGATATCCAGGTCTGTGCTGTAATGTTTTATCTGAATATCCTGGTCTTTGGTGTGATGTTGTATCCAAATATAATTGCCTTTGGTGTAATGCAGTCCCAACTGTGTGTACTGTATCGGCTAACTGAGTTGACCGCTTCGAGTAAAACCTCTCCGCTTCGTGTTCCGGCACAGACTGAACAGTTTCTTTCCTTTCTCCTTCTCTCCTCTCCTCTTCTTCCCTCCGATATCCTACAGGATGCAGTCCAGCCCGTCCCCGTGTCTCCAGGTGTTGGTTGATGAAGTATCCTGGTGTCTGATGGTACTTCATCTTGGATCGAAGGGCTGCTCACGTGTGTCTGTGTTGTGACGACCGCTAGCTGAGCTCGAGCTTTCACAGTACTTCCGCAATATATCAGGCAGGGGAGTAGGAGGGGGTTCAAATTGTAGTGTTTTTTGAAAATTCTAAACTTTTTTTTTGTATAATTGTCAAACATTTTGGTCGAACTATGTCGGACTATTAGGGCGGGGGATTCGAAATGGTAACATTTCAATTAATTATCTGTCACAAAAGTAAGACAGCTCTAAATAATATAATTTATTACAATCCACGTTTCCCCCACCCTCACGTGGTAAGAAAGTGACATCTAGTGTCAAATTGATATAAACTGATTACTTAAAGGGACTGTAAGCGTACTTTCCAAGTAAAGAGAGCAATGCCCGATTTACAACGGTACCCTTGAAACCTTAATCTGATCGAAAATGTGGAAGATATCGTAGTTTTTCTAACTCGAAAAGTGTTTAATTCTGATAGTTTTGGCATTGCTTCTTATAAGTAAGAAATACGCAAGTCACTTTTGCAGATTAAACACAAATGAAACTAAACAGTTTATAGAAACAAAAAAATGGATCACAAATTAATACGAGATCAGAAAAAGCTTTTAATGGTACCGTTGTAAATCGGTCATTGCCATCTTTGCATGGAGGTTCAGATGAAATTACGCTGACAGTCTCTTCAAAATGTCTGAATAACCCCAGCAAGCAAAATCTAGAGTTTTATAATTAAGACACCTATCAAGGTTTGATATTGATCGATAATGTTAATTTTTAAATTCAAGTAACCTGCAGATTATTTAGAAATGATTGAAAATATTTAAGGTAATTTGTGATATCTGTCATATTTGGGATTATGTTTTATAATTTGTATTTTGTGATTTAGATAATTCGGTTATTTCGAGCTGACTTCCATTTTTATCTAAAACAAACTGAAGTTGACATGGCCGGTACACTGTAGTTTCAGAAGCAGTAAATATTTCCATAAGGTGTATAGCGCCGATTAAAGGATTCATATCTCTAATTGAATAATGAGATAGATAGAACGATAGATGTTACCGCCATACAATTTCTATTGGTTCAGAATAGACAACAAACACATGACAGAACCCTGATTGGATCAGGGGCTATTGGATTCGTCATACAAGTGATGGAATAAAAGCCTGTAATCCAGATTTGTTAAATATATGCCACAATTTAATTGAAAATAAATGCTAACAGACTTCATACTCATACGCATGTAATTGACAATCAAATTCATCATCGCAATGCAACCAGTCTTTCTTTTTGAAGTTTTCATTGATGTCTTCAAGCTGTGAAAACATAATAATTACTATGTAATTTTTATTTTTGACAAATGACAAATTAAACTATTTGTAATAGGTTTGCGACTATAAACATGATATCAGAAAAAAGTCCATTTATAATATCTCGAACACTGCAGCATAAAAGTTACTATTTATGATACAAGCATTAATCTGTCTTAACTCAGAGTGGGTTAAGGCGTTTTTGTCATTATATTCCTGTCAATTAGGATCCTGTTTAACATTTCTTGTGTGGTTTTTTAGTAACACCCCTTTAATTAAGGTTATTTTTAATTATTGATATAATACAGTAAGATCCAGAAAACTGTGGAATAGGAAAAACTCATTTAAGCAACAATCAAGTGCATTTGATGTTAATACAAAGCACAAAAATTTTCTATATGCGGTGGTAGGCGTTAATATCAATATAATGAAGACGACTTTTTCATTTAAGTTTTATTGTTAACAAGCTTTTTTTCGAATTAAAAGTTTACATGTAATTAAAGGGAAGCCTTTTAAAATAGCAGCTTTTCTTTGGTTTCATTTCTTTGTGTATTTCTGCTGTTTAACAACTTGATGTAAATCAAAATTGAAACCGAAAGTCGTCTTCATTGCATTGGTATTATCGCCTACGACCGTAGCTTATCATTTCACTTATAAAGCTAATTAGGTCTGTATATATGCACTGCACAATAGCTGTGTCTCCTATTCATTGGATTTTTTTATGTCAAAATTTGAGTCTAAAAGTCGTCCTGCCATTCCATAGTTTTCTGGTTCTTACTGAATCTTGTAAGTTGATCTGATTTTAACATTTCAGTTGTTATTATGTCAATTATTAGATTCCTTCCTGTTTTGTCTAGTGTTGAAGATATACTAGGTAAAAAAAAGTAATTAAAAGACAAACGAAATAAAAAGTATTTTTAATTTTTGCTCAAAATTGGCGGATTTTTGGTAACTTATAATTTGGTAACTGCTAATTTAGTAACCTGACAATTTGGTAACCAACAATTTGGTAACCTGACAATTTGGTAACCCTACAACTTGGTAACTGTTTGTAAACTCGGCCCTCTAGCCTGTCCTAACCGCAGAGCTCAGCCCAGAAATTGTCTTAACCTAATCTAACCACACACTTCAGCAAACAATTTATTAGGTTGATAAAGAAGGCGCTCGGTCCAGATTTTAAATTAACCTAACCTTTAACCATATCAGATATTATTGAATTAGTTCTGATCAGGGGGGATGATAGTTCTCTACCTGTGTGTTCAGTTAGCTGTACTGTACACTTACAACTGTTTACTAATATTGATATACTATAAGGTTAGGCCAGAATCAGCTTATAATAAACAAATATGCAGTATGCTCTCGGTATAGTTGATGACTTATGTAATAAGTAAAGGATTAGCGTACATCATCAATCTATAACACTATAACCTCATTGGTTTTGATAAATATGGCCGTAGCGCTCGGCTCCCTAGCCTGTCCTTGACGCAGCGCTCGGCCCAGAAATCGTCTTAACCTAACCTGACCAAATTGTGAGGTTACCAAATTGCTAGTTTCCAAATTGTTAGTTTCCAAATTGTTAGTTTCCAAATTGTTAGTTACCAAATTATTAGGTTACCAAATTATAAGTCACCAAATTGTCATGTTACCAAATTGTCAAGTTACTAAATTGTTAGTTTCCATATTGTTAGTTACCAAATTATTAGTTAACAAATTGTTAGTTACCAATACGTTAGTTACCAAATTATTAGTAACCAAAAATCCGCTCAACCTGTGAGCATCTTCTCTTTTTACAATATAAAACAATAACAAAAAGTTCGCGGATTTTGAAAAAAAGATTCCGCGCATTTTAAAAATTTTAAAAAACGCAAAACTTTTGCACACAAATTTTTGTAATTTTAAGCATTAATAACCCTTCCCTAGGGTCATGTGAGGTCCCACACAAAATTTGAGCCTGATCTGTTCCGTAGTTTTGACTTTATTGGACACAAACGGACAGATAAAAAGACAAGCAGATAGACAGACCAGCAATATATATATATATAGATTATCCTAAATGAATTCAAACTCCTTTAAATGTAAAAACATATTATCATAGCTACAGTGAAGCCGGATATGCAGTTTTATAATTCTAAAAATTGCAAATTGTTCTTAAACACTGCGAAAACCCTCCGTGACATTTCATGTCTAAGTATAAAACTAAAATTTTACCCTGCACATAAATAGAGATGGGCCTTGTTTTCTAAACGTTTTTAAAGGTGTGCAAGGCACTGGAAACTCAAAGTACCAGTTCGACTTGCTTACAGGAAGCTGTACAATACAAATACCGACACTATAAGGCAAAACGAGACGGTACGCCAAATGAACACTCCCATTCTACTGAAATTTATGTACAGGGTCTTTTATGTCCAATAGGTTTCACGAAAATCTAAGTTGTTCAATATATTTGTAGGAGATTTTGCAAATGCCACGTGACCATGCATCTTTTGACGGAAAAATCATATTTCAAGTTTATGGGCACTCAATATTTAACTGGAAAAATATGGATTTTTTCACCCTCCATGATCAGATATAGTTTTGTACAGTAGTGAATCTTATCTACCAATCTACAGATGGCTTGTCTTTGTCACTAAAATGTTGTAACGTAAGTCTGTTAAAAATGGTTTCTATAATGTAAAGTACAAAGCTTTGCTTGGGTGTCGGTTTGTTTGTTTGTGTGTCCGATCAAAACTTATAAACCCCTGGACCGATTTGCCTCAAAGTTTGATTTACTCATTAAAACCACGGACATTCTCATTTCAAAAGTTTAAGATGATTAATGGATTGAGACTAATAGAAATAACTTAGTTTTCAAGCAAAACTGGGTCCCAAATTAGTGCTCTATGCGTTTCACTTTAAGAAATGTCAAATTTTCAAATAAGAAAATTTGTTGGAGCTCCGGAGTCAAATTCAACATAGTAGCTCGATTCTTTAAATGTTGATGAATGGTAAATTTCATCTAACAAGATTTGACGAATAATGCTATAACTAATTGAAATTTGCCTATTAATAATATTCACATCTACTTTACAGGAAAGTTAAGAAATTTTACTTCCAAGACCAAAACAAGACTAAAACAAGACCAAAACAAGACCAAAACAAGATCAAAACAAGACCTAAACAAGACCAAAACAAGATCAAAAGAAGACCAAAACAAGACCAAAAGAAGACCAAAACAAGACCAAAACAAGACCGAAAAAAGACCAAAACAAGACCAAAGAAAATCCTAAGCGCAGCAAAATTTGTCGAGAAAACCCGTGGTCAAGTAAAATTTTGAATTTTTCGAAAAATTAGTTTTCACAATTGTGAAATTTGAGATGAAATAGCAAGAATTTTTTCACGAAAGCTTCACGGGTGGTTATTTGACATCCCTCTGTTGATGGAATATTGATCCAAAGGCGGTAAACTTTTTTTTTAAAAACCTTGAATGTTTCTAAACGTTGCCCATTCCTACATAGAGAAATAGTATTGTATTTCAGCCTTTCCGCTTCTTTCCCGTGAGACAGACTTGTTGTTTGAGTCTAATTGTTTCAAACAAAATAAAGATCAAAAATATGCTCTTGGCATTTAATTTTTCTCTCTGCTTACAATGATAACTTAAAGATAAAAGCTGACTTTATCTGTGCAGTTTTACCACTGCAAAAACTAGCAAAAAAAGCGGTAATTCAAGCAGGATTCAAGCAGGATTCA